CACCTAGAATATCATATTCTTTTATAGCAGCTTAAGCTGACTACGACACTGAGCTACCCACGAATTTCTAATAAATTCTTTCTCCCACTTTAGTTAGAACCAGAGTTGGTTTCTGTTGCTTGCATCCAAAAATAGTTTCCCATTGTTCTTAAATATATATATATATATATATATATATATATATATATATATATATATATATTTTTTTTTTTTTTTGGTACGCGGGCCTCTCACTGTTGTGGCCTCTCCTGTTGCGGAGCACAGGCCCCGGACGCGCAGGCTCAGCGGCCATGGCTCACGGGCCCAGCTGCTCCACAGCATGTGGGATCTTCCCAGACCGGGGCACGAACCCGTGTCCCCTGCATTGGCAGGCAGACTCTCAACCACTGCGCCACCAGGGAAGCCCTATAATCCGTTCTTAACGTTGGAAGGATCTTACGGATTGTCTAGGGCAGGAATAGCATCTTGGCTTCCCGCTTCAATCAATTGGTCAGAGTTACTTGAGTGTTGTGAACTCAGTGGGAAAATTGTGTCATAATTAGTTCTCCACGTTCGACATGGTCATGGAAGGTGGAAGTCTGGATATATGTACCACATATTTGTCATTCCTGATCTAATGCAACTTCCCACCTAGTCTGAAAATTCTCTGATCTATAGCATTGCTCTGAGATGGTTTCTGATTAAGCACCTTCATTGGAACAGCTCACTTCATATTTGGATTTCTCCTTTTGTTATGAAGTTCTTCCCTGGGAGTATGGGGCAGAGTAAGGGGCTGGGTTGATTTAGGTAACCTAAAGCTAATTCTGATTGACTGCCACTGACTAGGTATGTGATTCTAGGGAGTAACAGTCTCTTCGGGCCTCAGTCTTCCACCTGAGAAATGAAAAACTTGAACTGAGTAACCACAAAGTTTCCTTCCAGCTTGAAGATCCTATTATTCATGTGAGTCAGTATTCGCCTCACAGAGACATGTTCCATTGGCCCCACTTACACAGTAGGGCTTACGTGAGAGCCCTTCAAATATTGGAGAACTAATGGCCTTCTGAGCTTTTTGTTATCAGCTAAACATGCCCAGTTTCTTTAATCATTTCTCATATGATGAGGTTTCCAGACTTTTCACCATCTGGTCATTCTTTTCTGGACACTTGAGTTTTCCAATGTCTCCCTGGAGGTGTGGCTCCCAGAACTGGACCTGGGCTAGTTGTGCAGTGGGGGTATCCCCACTCTTTAATTTTTTTTGATGTGGACCACTTTTAAAGTCTTTATTGAATTTGTTACAATATTGCTTCTGTTTTATGTTTTGGTTTTTTGCCGCAAGGCATGTGGGATCTTAGCTCCCCGACCAGGGATCGAACCCACACCCCCTGCACTGGAAGGCGAAATCTTAACCACTGGACCACCAAGGAAGTCCCCTATCCCCACTCTTTACCCATGTGATCAGCCTGGCCCTCCTGGCCGATGGGACCTGTGCTGACCAGTGCACAGCCCACTAAAACTTTCCTGAATCTAGGGATATATTGTATATTTTAGAGGCCCTCCTTCAACCTGCATGCAGAACGGATGCAGGGAGCCATGGAGTCAAGTCTGGAAGGAGATGGTGCTTCCTCTGAAGACCAGTACATAACCAAGTGCTGATGAACTGAATAGGTGCTACTTCTTAATAAACATGGAAAGAAGATTTGCCAGAGATATCATTCATGTTTGCAGCAGTTATTTTTTTATTTATCAATTTTAAAATTGAAGTATAGTTGATTTACAATGTTATATTAGTTTCAAGTGTACAAAATAGTAATTCAATATTTCATAGATTATACTCCATTTAAAGTTATTCTAAAATAATGGCTATAATTCCCTGTGCCATACAGTATATCATTATAGCTTATTTATTTTATGCACTGTAGTTTGTACTTCTTAATCCCCTACCCCTATCTTGCCCCATCCTCCTTTCCTTTCCCCAATGTTTTTTTGTTTTTTGAAATGAGGCATTGGGTGCTCATAGCTCCACTGGTGAGAAAATGTGTCTCTAACCCTTCTCTCTTGCGATACCCTCCCCGCTCCATTCCTTCTGACATCGTGGCACATGACTCCTTTGCTCGAGCAGCTCTTGTATTTACAGAGGACAGATACAAAGGCTCTTGCTCAAAGGAGATATAATGAAAACAAGGAAAAGCAAACACAGATTTGGAGTGGATTCTGGTCTGACCATGACCCCACTGGAGTTAATGGTGCCAAGGTCATTATGGGAGGAATCTGACACTCAAACAGAAGGGGTCGCTCCTGGCTTCCCTAACCCCAGGAACGGGGTGTTCTGCAGATCACAAGGTCCCAAGTGCTGTGGCCCCAGACCATCACTATGGTCCTCCCCTTTCCTTCCCCACCCCCTTTGTTTTGGCCCAGTTGTCCTGGTCTCCGCTCTCTTCTTCATAAACCCCAACTATGCTCTCCCTCAGGGCCTTTGCATCCTCTGTTCTCTGGAACGCTCTTTGCCCAGCCACTGCATGGCTCACTCCACTGCCCTAGGCTTCTGTTCGCATGTCACCTCATCAGGAGGAGGTGTCCTCTGATCCCCTTATCTAAGACAGACCCCTTCTCCCCAACACACCATTCTCTTGCCATTGACTCCACCTTAGCTTTCTTAATAGAACTTATCCACATGTGACATGTGCTTACTTGCTTACTTATATTATCTAGAATATAAACTCCACGAAGGAAGGACATTGCTTTACTCACGACTGAGTCCCCAGTGCCCTGAAGTGTATGCTTTACTCACTACTGAGTCCCCAGTGCCCTGAAGTGTACCCAGTGCATGCCGCACACTCAATCAGTATTTGTGACAGTATTTGTGACTGGGTGACTTTTGAAGCATCAATCCCGATGCTTTTCAACACGAACACTGTGGTGGGTTAATTATTCCACTAGTGGACAAATGAGTCATTGGGGATGGGAACCTCAGTTGATTTGAGCAGCGTGAATACGTTCAAAAGGCCCTGGCATACCACACAACAAAACCACCGTCTACATGACGTCACCAGGGGTTACCGCGTGAAGGAAAACTGTGGGTCCCATCCCATCCAGAACTGCTCTGATCTGAGGCGGGGCCCTGGAGATGAAGGGAAGAGAGAAGGGGAGTGGTGTGTGTGTGTGTGTTTCCCTCATTCAACCACCATGGCTCATTTGCTAGACCCTGGGCTTTCTCTTTCACATCAGTTTTAAAGACTAAGGCCAGTTTTGCCTGGTTCATTGACCAGGCCTGGGGAATGCCTCTGATGACAGGTGGCGGCAGCATTAGCTACTGTGGCCATGTGCACTGTTCAGGTGGACTTGGAAGAAGGTGATGGGAGAGAAGTGGATGCAGGGGAGGCATAAGGACTAGGTGAAGTCAGGTGGCCAGCAGGGGACCTCTGAGCAGAGCCAGCAGGCAGGGAAATTCCAGGACTAGTCGTGTGCAGGAGTGGCCATATGAATCTGGAGGCCAGCTGAGCTGACCATTTGTCCAAGGTGAAGTGACTGCCCAGGAACTGGGGAGAAGAGGGAAGCCCCTTGCACAGGGCTGACATCCTGGGTGGAGGGATTGAAGCCGTCCTAGGAAAATACTTCAAAACCTACCCCTGTTTCTTCAATGCCTCCTTCCTCTATCATCAAGACTTGAGTGAGGTCCCAGAAAAAAATCTGGTTACACTTGGGAGGGAGTAATGTTGGACCATATCATCTACTAATTCTTAAGTGTAAGTTTAGCTCATCAATTATTTTTTCCAGTGGCAATATTCCAGAGCTTTTTAAGACAAAATCGCTCAGTGACAGATTGTGTTTTGCAGAGATGGCCACAATAATAACACCTTCCATCTCACATGTGCTCCTTTCAAAGTGACCTTGAACATCTTCCCATTGAGTGGTGGGTCCCTTGAACTTGGGTGGATCTTCTGCACTTGCATCTGAAAATGAGTGTGGCAGATATTAGGATGCCTCAGCTCCTTTCCCTCCATAATTTCCCTTCTGTTTAGTTTTTCCTGGCTCCTCCCTCTCTCAGTCTCAGGCAGAGACTCTCATCCTGAGCTGAGCTGATCTTCTTGAAGTTGTGCAAGAACTTCCTGTTGGCTGAGGAATTTAATCTCTCTTTTTCTGGTCACTGTGCTAGACAGTGAGGAGAGAATCTCAAACCCAACTCCAGCTCCTGTGGGAGGTATGACGGTCAGTGCTGAGGGTGAAGATGTCAATTAAAAAGATGTTACCAGCAAAATGGCACCCATCCCAACCATGAGATATCAACCATCCCTTGATTGTCTAGAGCTGTAAATTACCTTTGAGGACCGTGAACTTGCAAGTCCTTCAAGCCGGAAAGAGAAACCCTTGACCCCCATGTCTCTTCTTCATCAGGTTCTAGACCTTTTCTTATAATTCCTTGGTTGTGGGAAACATCAGGGTCTCAAATGACAGGGGCTGGGGTTAGGACTGAAAGTGGGTGATTGTCCAATGTCTTTTAGAGGGCAGGACCCAGGCTGGAAGTAATCCTTTGATGCTGGTTGGTTAATAGTTGTGTTAGTCTGCTAGGGCTGCCATAACAAGATACGATAGAATGGGTGGCTTACACGACAGAAATTTATTTTCTCAGTCTTGGAGACTAGAAGTCCAAGACCAAGATGTTAGCAGGTTTGGTTTCTCCCAAGGCCTCTCCTTGGCTTGCAGAGGGCTTCCTTCTCTCTGTGTCCTTCCATGGCTTTTTCTCTCTGTGTGTGCATTCCTGGTGCCTCTCCCTCTTCTTATAAGGACACCAGTCATATCGGATTAGGGCCATCTCAATGACCTCATTTAACCTTAATTATCTCTTTGAAGACCCTATCTCCAAACACAGTCATATCCTGAGATATTGGGGGTTAGGATTTCAACATGTGAATTTAAAGGGGACAAATTCAATCCATAACAATACTTCATGAACAATGGTGGAGGACTGAGTGCCCTGGACAATCAATCTATGGATCCTGGAGAACTTCCAGTGTCCTTGAGGGGATGTCCTGCTGGGCCCATATTTCCCAGAGCACAGCCAGGACATGCAACCAGGGGAGAGGGAAGGGGGAAGGTGTGGAAGGTTGTGCCGGTGTTTCCTCTCCTCCCAGTGTGATGGCTGCCCAGGCTGCTCCTGAGCGGTGGTACAGGAATCTCACAGGAGGTACGAGGTCCATGGTGGTTTCCAGGTACCAGCTACATCCCAGAGCATCATGTGGCTAGGCAGTGGGTTTCCTCGTGATCCAGGCATTGCTCACGGTAGACCCTAAACGAGGGGGTTCTCTGTCTCTGGAGCCACTTCACCAGCACCGACATCCTTCTTCTTTGTCCCTGGCAAGGAGATCAGAACGAAGGTTACCCCTCCAAAGTTTGTACCTAAGGCCTCTGAATCCTGATGGTCCTAGTTCAAGATCACCTCAGGCAAGGAATAGCTCTCCTGGTTTTCCAAGACCCTGGAAAAGGAGATGCTTCAAGGACAGGAAGTTCTTCCTAATGTCTAGACTTTCTCTGCAATTATGGCACGCATTTAGCTGTAGAAGGTATAGAAACTTAGAGCTGGGATGGACCCAGTTAAATGACTAGGCAGAAGCCACGTGTCAGAACCAAGGGTCAGCCTCCAGATGCCCTGGGTAGAGCCTTTCCACTATCCCCGGTAGTTGGATTCTCTCTACCCTTCTCAGTGTCCAACGCTGCTCTTTTCTGAGCCTTGAAAACATTAGGCGAAGTGAAAGAAGTCAGTCACAAAGGATCACACAGTGCATGACTCCATTTACAGGATAGACTGTCCAGAAGAGACAGTCTAGGGACAGAAAGGAGATTAGTGGTTGCCTGGGGCTGGAAGGGAAAGGGGCACTAGGGAGTGATGGCTAAGGGGCTTGGGAATTTCCTTTTGGGGTAATGAGGATGTTCTCAAATTGAGTGTGGTGATGGATGAACAACTCTGTGACTGTAATAAAAGCCATTGAGTTTTACACTTGAAATGCATGAATTACACGGTATGTGCAGTATAGTCCAATAAAGCTGTTAAAACAAAAAGCTGCTTGCTTCCTGGCTTCTACCTTCTTACCACAAATCCTGGGGGCTGTCTGAGGCAAAGGGCCAGGTCAGACCCTCTCAGGAGCAGACAGGGCCCTAGGTGGAGTGTGACCCCTGCTGCTCCCTCTTCCCTCCCTTGCCTGTGGAAAGAACATACAGGAGCCAGCCAGCCAGCCCAGCTGCATGCTCAGTGGCTGGGCCAAGACTCTTGCCTTTTAGGACACATCCACTGAAGTCTTATGCCTCCTTCTCCTTGCTGACCCACTTTCTCCATCCTGGGACCAGCCAGACAGCCTAGGATGGACATGTCCACGAAGCCCAGGTCAGCTGGGGTAGTTCTTTCAGGAGCTGGATGGAGAGCACAGAACCCAGCTTAAACTCTGAGTGTCCCCTTCCCTCTTCTCCTGGGGGAAGGAGGCCCTATCAGTCCCTGGCCAGAGAGGTGCTTCTCTCAGGAAGCCTTTCCTAGGATGATTGGCAAGAGGGAGTTGGGATTCATCTAGATTTTCACTCAACACACCTTTATTGATACCAGTTATGTTCCAGGAACCCTTGCTAGATGTCAGGGGGTGGTGACTCAGCCTTTATCTTTCAAGACCTGAGAACTCCGTGGGAGAGTGAGGGCAGTAAGTGCTGTGACTGAGATGAGCACTGGAGAGTCAAGGCAGGACACAAACCCAGCCTGGGTGTGGGAGAGAAGGTCGGGAAGGCTTCCTGCAGGGGGCACACCTTGAAGATGGTGGAGGTGACAGCCAAATGAAGAAGGCGAGTTGGGTGGAAGTTATGGAAAATGTGTTCCAGACAGAAAGAGTAGAATGTGCAAATGCCTGCAGAGGCATGCAAGAGAGTAGCTCATTTGAAAACTGCTAAAGGAACTTCAGGTAGTTCAGTCTGACTGGAGACCAGAATATTAGATGGAGAGGGCCAAGAGATGACACGGGAGAGGGAAGCCTAAATAGGAGGCCGTCCAAACTTGGCCCTCCTTCCCAGAAGACCTACCTCCTCCAGCCACCCCTAGCCCCTGCAGGACTCCTACCTGAGCAGGGGCCCCAGTGCCAGGCAGAGAGACCAGCCAGGATCACAAGCAGCAAGACAGGCACCACCACCAGTAGCACATCTTTGTAGGAGGCCATCCCTGGAGCTGGACATGGAGGGGGCAGGGTCACAGGTGGACTGGAGGCTTCACAATCCCTCAACCACTGATCCCCAGCCCTCGGCATACCTGCCTGGTGATGGCAGCTCTCCCAGGGGGTGACTGTGGCCAAGTCCCAGCTGACAGGGTTTGAGACAATGCAGGAATAGGCCACACCTTTGTCACCTGGTCCCAGTGACACACTCAGCACCTGTCCGTCCATGAAGAGGCCGCCTGGCTTGATATCAAGGTCAATGGTTCCCTCCCGTCGCCAGCTATAGGTTATGTCGCTGATGTTGGGAGCCCAACAGGACAGGAACACTTGGCAGGTCTTGGGGGGCTGAGCATCCCCTGATACAGCAGTGAACACTTGCACCACGGGCCTGGGCACTGCACCTGAGCAAGGACAGCAGAACCAGTGTGGGTTTTAGGGATGCTGAGTGGGGCCCATAGCTCCAGCTCTGGGATCCATGCAGGGCTAGGTGCCACCTCTGACTAGGCCACTCTGGCTCTAAAGCCTCATCAGTCTCCCATTGCCCACAGGACAGAAGCTGAATTTCTAAGTCTGGTATTCAAAATCCTTCATTAAATGGTTGATGTCAACCTCTCCAGCTGTACCTCCTGCTGACCCTCTCCACCCATCTTAATTAATTTCCTGTTCTCCCAAACGTGTCATGCTTCATATCTTTCATGTGGCTCAGCTGTACACATATGCTTTTCTCGTCTCACCCTCCTAGAAAACTCCTACTCATCCTCCAAGGCCCAGCTTGGACACACTCCTTACTGCTCTGATTATGAAGCCTTCTCTGATATTCCAGGTACGGCTCTGAGCCCTCTGAGAACTCTCTGTATCCCTTGTCATCAAATTTCCCCCATACATGATACATCAGTCAGAGAGACAATAAACGTTTGTTAAGGTAGGCACAAAAACAACAAACACATTCCTGGACTTTTGGAGATTTTGGAGTTTGGTGAAGAAGACGTACTAACAAGTGATTATGAATAACTAAGAAAATTATCACAAGGATGCAAAATTCTGTGAAGGAGCGGGCCAGGGGGTAGGGGCTCTACCTTTTTGTCTCCATAACCCTTGCTCTCAAGGTGCTCAGCTACCTGGGCCATTGGACAAATTGGTGTCCTGGCATCCCAGGCCATGGCTGCCCCTTCCTACATCGGTTGATGAGTAGATCACGAGTCTCATGGCGAAGGGGGCCAGCGGGAGAGCATTCTGGCAACAGTGGGAGGGCTCAGTCTCTGAGAGCATTCCAAAGTTAAGCTGAGTAAAACCTCATGAATGCCAGCTCGATCTGGTGGGATTTGTGATATGAAAAAAGAAAAGATTTGCTGGGCGCCCTAATAGTATAAACAAAGATTACAGGGGAGGGAGATATTTACACTACTTCAGAGGACAAGCTGCTTCCAAACACGATCAGGCACAGTAGAAACACCCATTGACATTTCTAGTAACTGATCTGCTAATTCAAATCATTCTTATCTATTGTCAAAGCAGAGCTCCTAAGGACGGCTGCCTGGCAGCTTTGTGCAATTAGTTCTGATCACGCTACGTATTTGGAAGCAATAAAACAGCAATTTCCTTAAAATCTGTAATTCAGATGCTGAGAACAAGGCATTTTAGAGCTTAGTGGTGTGGGTGCTGCCTGTATTATCCCATTCAACGTCCTCATTTCACATATGTGACAGCTGAGACCCAGAACGGGGGAGAGCCTCCCTGGCTGCCTGGATGGCTATGAAGGCTGTTCACTGTGCAAGGGCGCTGGGCTCAGGGGGTAACGGGTGAGGGCGGGGTGCTGAATTCCAGCCAGCCCTCTGCTTGCCAACATGGTGCAACATGGATCAGGGTCGTGTGCATCGAATAGGACACACATTTAATTGTACACTGGCAGCCCGTGTGGCTCACCTAAGTGATGAGCCAGTGATCTTCCTCTAGGTGGGGGAGGGTCTCTCTCTTTCCAGTTTGCTACTGCCTTTCTCTCCCTCAGTGTTTCGCTCTGCCCAGCTATCACCTCGACTCTCCATTCTTAAATTTGGACCTTTTCCTCCCCTTATTCTATCTCAATTTCTGAGGTTTTACTGAAATAGGGGTCACTGACATATCTTTTCCAAGCCACTAGATACATGAATAGGAGCTCAAAGGCCATTTTATCTTTACCAGCAGAAATACGGTGGCCGTGGTAGAAGTGTAGGTGGTGATGGTGGTGCAGGTGATGGTGGGGGTGGTGGAGGTGGAGGTGGTGATGGTGGTGCAGGTGATGGAGGGCATGGTGGTGGTGGTTGTGGAGATGCTGGTTGTGACAGAGGTGGAGGTGAAGTTGCTGGAAAGAAAGACCCATCCAGCCTCCAGTGAATTCAGTCACCGCAGCTGAGGTGCTGAGAGCAGCTCTATGAATGACCCTAACACACCTACGCAGAACAGAGGATCACCTCAGCTGAGCCCTGCAAAGTCAGACTTGTGAGAAACAAAAATATTTGTTGTTTTTAACCAGCAAGTTTGGGGATGGTTTATTTTGCAATAACAAATAACAGAGAATACCCATGAATGATGTAAATTTAAAATCTCTCAATACATCTAAAAGAGCTCTTTTAAGAAATATGACATAAAAATTCTATACTTTAGGGGGTTTCCCTGGTGGCGCAGTGGTTGAGAGTCCGCCTGCTGATGCGGGGGATGCAGGTTCGTGCCCCGGTCCGGGAGGATCCCACGTGCCGCGGAGCGGCTGGGCCCGTGGGCCATGGCCGCTGAGCCTGCGCGTCTGGAGCCTGTGTTCCGCAACGGGAGAGGCCACAACAGTGAGAGGCCCGCGTACCGCAAAAAAAAAAAAAAAAAAAATCTATACTTTAGTTAAAATGAATTTTTAAATTAAAAACATTGTGTATCCTTATTTTTCTTTTTGGTGGTGCATAAAATAATGGCACGTCTTATAACCTGTTATCTTAGAATTGATGATGCCTAGGCCAGCCTCTATCCCAGATGCTTTCCCAAATGCCACTGATTTTACGTTTATTGGGATTTTCATGGTAATATTACTATACTGGTTTTACAAGTGAGAAAGGTCAATGTCAGGGAGTAAGTATTGTGTCCAAGGCCACTGAGATAAGAAAAGACCAAGCTAGAGTTCAGACCAGGACAATAGGGCGGAAAAGCCTGGCTGCCCCAGCCAGAAGCTCACCTGCGAGAACCCGAGGAGTTTTCTTACCTGTGCCTGTGGGGAAGCAGCTGTTCCCTGAATCAGCCATGAGGTCAGAGGCCAGAGGTTTCTAGACCCCAGTTCTCCCCAGTTTCCAGGACCCAGGATGCCTTTCCGGAGCTTTGTGGGAGGAGGTGGGGCAGAGAGCCTGAGTCAGGTGCACTCACCATACACCTTGAGCTGCAGGGTCTGGGTCCAGGCTCGACCTTCCTTGTCCACCAGCAGCACGGAGAAGTTGCCGCTGTCTCCAGACTTCAGTGGCCGCAGCTCCAAGCTGAGGTTGCTGTGCAGCTGGGCTCGGCCCAGGAAGCGGGAGTGGTACAGCGTCTCCAGAGACCCCCGGAAGAACGTGGCCAGGAGCTCCTCTGAAGGCCAGAGGGATCTCCAGATGGCCTCTCGGATTTGGAAGCCGGGAGGGTGCTCTGCCACCAGCAGCGCGGAGCCCCCCACCTGGCCCTGAACTTGGGCACTGGTTACAATGAAGGGAAGTAGTGCTGAAAGGACAGAACCCCATCACTCTGCCTGCCCCAAACGTCCTCATCTCTCTCCTGCGTGCAGCTGAGCTGCTGCGGAGCAAGTGAGGGCCCTTCTCTCCACACTCCCTCCACCCAAGCTGAGAGCGCACTGCGCCAGGGACTGGGAATAAAACAGTGAGGAAGGGAATCCAGTCCCTGTGCTCATGGAGCTCAGACTCTTAAGACAGCAATTTACCATGGTGGCAAAAATGGGTGCCCCGGGAGAACACAGGTAGGCTGATAGGGTGACCTTGCCAGGCCTTGAGGGACTCAGAGAAGAAAAGGTTAAGCTGAGACCGGAAAGAGGAATGGGAATCAGCCAGGTCACGCAGAGGGCGGCCTGGAGTGGGGATGGGGAAGTGTTAGAGACCAAGTGGGCAGCACACACAAAGGCCCGGACGGTGAGAGAGCTTGGTGCACTGTGGGGAACTGAAAGTAGTTCTCTGCAGAGGGAGTAAGAAATAGCACTGCAGAGTCTGTGGGAGCCCGATCCTGCAGGGCCCTAAAAGCAACTTTGGAGTTTGGCCTTTATCCTTAGAGCGATGGGGGGGCCTTGGATAGTCTTTAAGTAAGAGAGTGACGTGATTAGATCCATGGTTAGAAAGACAACTCCAGCAGCGGTGTGCAGGCTGCACGGGAGGTGGGGCAAGACTGAGGCTGCGTCTATTAATCCCAAGGAGAGTGGGGTTGTACTGGTACTGGAGGTACTATGGAAACTTGTACTGAGGAAGTGAGCAGATGAGACAGGCAGAAGTGGGAGGAATGGAGAGATTATTGTGTGGGGTCTGGTAACAGATTAGATCTGGGGAGTGAGGGAGCCAGGAGTCAAGGATGGCTCCCAGGTCCTTGGGACCCACTGGATGCCATTCTCTGTGATCCAGAACAGGAGGAGAAACAGAATGGGGGTGAGATGTCAAGAGGCTGTTTTGCTGGGAACATAGTCAGTGTGACTTGTGTGGGTGACACTTCTGCTTGAAGTGCCCCTCTGACTCCTCTGCTGACTGATTTCTGCTCCTCCTTGAAGCATTACTGCCTCCCCTGGCCTCTGCCATCTGTCACTGCAGGTTACAAACTCTGTGCTCCCACAGCGGGCTGGGATCACCACTACTAACGCTCCTATCCCTCTATTGTGACCACTTGTTTATGAGTCCCATGAGACTGTGAGTTCCTCTTCTCATGTTTGTACTTCCTGTGCCCAACACAGTTTAGGAGTGGGATGTAGGAGAACCTCGGAAGATATACTGAATGCATGACGAAATTGGCTGAGGACTTCCCTCATACCCAGCACAGTGGTGGGCGCGAGGGTTCAGAGCAGAATAAAAGCAGATGGAGAACACACCCAAGTGCTGGGAGTTTAGTTAGGGAGCCGTGTTCTGGATGACCACTCAGCCAGACGTTGGTAACTCCAGTCTCCTGTCCGTCTCACTGCCCTGCCAGCCCCAGCCATCTCAGTCCTAACTGGGGATGGCTTCAGGGTTAAGGCACAGTGGAGACGTCACACAAAGAGAGCATAGCACTGGATGTCAATCCAGACTCCTGCTCTATCCTGCCCTGGCTCTGCCACTAACAAGCTGTGCAAGCTTCAGCATACCTCTTCCCTCTAAAGGCTTCCGTTGTCCCATTCGTAAAGCAGGGGGTGCCTTCAACCAGTGGTACTCATCTCTTTCACCACTCAGAAAAATTCTTTTTGCTTCCCATGTCCACGGGTTTGAAAGATTGGTGAACCAAACAGATTCCCTCTTTTTGGCAGGATTTCCTTCACATGTTTAGAAATGTTGAAATCTGCGGACTTTTGGAGCCAGGAACTCAGGTGGGGACATCAGACAAAATCATCTTGAAGTCCCTGTGAGCTTCTGACACAAACAAAAGTGTCTGAGTACTTGCCACGCCCCATGGCTCCCATCCCCTGGCCTAGCAGCGCTGGCCCTTGTCATACTGACCACTTGTTAACCAAGGGAGGGAAGTCAGGCATCGGACAGGATGGGGGGGGGGTGGTGTCGCCCAGTGTTGAAGAGACCTGATTTGTCTCTTCTGACATCACACCGCTATCGACCACCCCAAGTCCACAGGCAATATATTAACTTGCTTTTGTCTCTCATCCCTCCTGAATGTCCACTTCCACAGACCTGCAGGGAGGAGTCTCAGCTCTCCCACAGGCTGTTGGAAAGACATCCTCAGATTGTAAGGGCCCTGCCCTCCCCTGCTCTCCCCAGACCACATTTAGAATTTGCATGCGTTAACACTGCCAGACCCTCACATTCTCACGACCATCTCTTTCAAAACCAATGGGGGGCTTCCCTGGTGGCGCAGTGGTTGGGAGTCCGCCTGCCAGTGCAGGGGGCGCGGGTTCGTGACCCGGTCCGGGAGGATCCCACGTGCCGCGGAGCAACTGCGCCTGTGGGCCATGGCCGCTGAACCTGCGCGTCCGGAGCCTGTGCTCCGCAACGGGAGAGGCCACAACAGTGAGAGGCCCGCGTACCGCAAAAACAAACAAACAAAAAAAACAACAAAAAACAACAATGGTACCACCAGCCTCAGTTTTAACCTCCCTGGGCCACAAAACAGCTTGTGTCTCAGGGACATGGAGGTTCCTTGTGCTGCCATCCTTCTACCCAGGATCCTGCATCTCTTTGCCTCTGCCTAGCGTTTAAGGTCGCCCAAGAACTTGCTTCAGTCTTCCCTGCCCCTCCACAGCTCCTGGGTTCTCACTCGGGTTGGGGAGAGGATCCTGCCCGGATGTCTGGGGAAGGGACTTCAGCTCTCTGAGGCCAGGCCACCCGCCTGCCCCACTTACCTTCCCAGAGAAGCAGACTCCACAGGGACCACACGGCCATACTCCGGAGAGGCAGGCAAAGTCGCTCGAGAGCCAAATCCAGGACATCCCAGGTCAAGTGGATGCATGGAAGGAGCTGTGGTCCTTCTGGAAAGTCCCATGGTTAGAAGGAGGAATGTTGACTCAGAACAGGACGCCCTGAAAGTGAAAATATCCAGAGGAAAGTGGAAGTTGGCCTCAGGTCCAGCTGGGCTCTTTCAGGAGCTGATTCTTGTAAGTCAGCCTCTTTCAAATGCCTATGGTTGGCCAATGCAGACGGCAAGTCCCCCCCGCACAAGCCCACATCCTCCTCGCTGACTTCCGCCAGGCATCCCCGCATCCCACTCTGCCCGGCTGCCCCCTGCCCTTCCTGTTGTCACCGCAGAGAACCCTCTTAACTGCGATTCCCATCATCACCTCTCTGCTTAAAATTCTCCCGCAGCCTCCCACCGCCCTCAGGATAAAGACTAAACTCTTGGCTAGCGTACAAGGTTCTCCTAAGTCCAACCCCAGCCTGCTTCTCCAGCCTGCCGTCCCACGTCCATTCCGCTCTCCAGCCACGCCAAGCCAGGACTGCCTCTTCTCAGAACTGCCAACTCCACACTTCCGTTCGTTGTACTTGTTCCGTTCATCCTTCTGGATGTGGCCTGGCTATGCAGGCTATGCAGCTGGCTGGACTCCCGTTCCAGGCTTCCTGACCACAGGCAGCCTGAGGAAGCTTCCTTTCTGGGTGCCCAGGGCCTGCCCGTTCCTGCCATAACTCTTAGCACACTGTTTCGCAACAGTTTTCTCATCTCCACAGACTGTTTGTTGCCGAGGCCTCATGTTCATTTCTGTGTACCCCTCGGTGCTGGGCGTGTCATGGACGCTTAATGGACATTTGTTAAACCGGGGTGTGAGTTCTAGAGATTGCTGCCTATTTTGCTTCCTGGAAGCCCTACAACTCTCCTCTGAGAGGATCGGATTATCACCCTGTTAGAGATGGGGGAGGTGGAAAACCAGAGTGAGGTTAGCACCTTTCGGAGGTCACAGAGGAGCAGAGTTATGAGCTGAGCTTCAGCCTTCCAAGTGTGGTCCCTTTTGCCAGTCGCTCCATCCTAACTCCGCGTCTCTTCTCACTTGCGGCGGTAACTTGGTTTCTTTAGTCAGGGAAGGCTTTGCGAGAAGATAAGGAAAATCTCCGAGCTTCCTGAGTGTGGCTTGTGGTATCTAGTCCTGCAGAGCTTCTGACCTGTCGGTCAAACTGAACGCTCTGCTCTGGACCCAGCTGGGAACGAGGCAGACGTGGTGGCACGTGGGCAGGAGGATTCCAGAACAGGGTTCCTGCCCTCCAGTTACTCACCACCAAATTGTAGGAACAAGATATGCCTGGGAAGGGAAGGCCCACAACAGACAGACACGGCTCTGTGCAAAAGAGCAGCACAGGGCTTCCCTGGTGGCGCAGTGGTTGAGAGTCCGCCTGCCGATGCAGCGGACACGGGTTCGTGCCCCGGTCTGGGAAGATCCCACATGCTGCGGAGCGGCTGGGCCCGTGAGCCACAGCTACTGAGTCTGCGCGTCCGGAGCCTGTGCTCCGCAGCAAGAGAGGCCGTGACAGTGAGAGGCCCACGCACCGCGATGAAGAGTGGCCCCCGCTTGCCACAACTAGAGAAAGCCCTCGCACAGAAACAAAGACCCAACACAGCCAAAACTAAATAAATAAATTTATATATAAAAAAAAAAAGCAGCACAGACAGTCCACGCTGCAAGAGGGCATGGGAAGAGGTCTCTGTGGATGTGGGCAGGGGACACTTCCTTAAAAGGTGGAATTTGAGCTGCATCTTGAAGATAGACGTGATTTGGATAGGCTTAGAAAACAGGGAGGGCCAGAGGTTGGGGGTGGGCTCTGAGCATGAGGGGAAAGCTTGGCAGTGGGGAGGTCCCGTGTGGGCTCCAGAGACAGTGAAGGAGCAGAGGGAGGGATCCTTTAGGGCTGTCTTGGGTAACATGGAAAGGGACGCTGGGGGTCACATTATGGGGTCCTTGAGTACTGGGTTAAGTTTAGGCATTTACTCTGGAGGCCAGCAACTTTCACCCGTGCTGAAAACTTGGATTCTCAGGGATTCTGGTTCAGTAGGGCTGGGCTGGGGCTCAGGAACCTGTAGTTTTAACAAACACTGCACTCCAGGTGATTCTGAGCTAGTGAATGGAGGGAGGGCTCTGAGAAGCACTGCTTGGAGGGAGGGGGCTGCTGTCCATTTGGGGCTAACTTGCTAGTGGGAGGACAGCGTGCAGGGCTGATTGGGGGAGAAAAAAGAGGCAGGGAGGTCTGAGTAGCAACTATTGTGATTGTCCTGACTGGAGTAGAAAAGAACTCTCTAGAGAGAAAGGGGCAGAGCTGGAGTTGTGACAGAACTCGGACACCACCCGCCTATGGGACACAGAGGCCAAGGGAGAGGACTGATCTGTGACTCCACTGTCAATTCCATCATCCATGTGTCAGCTATTTATTGAGCATCTACTTACATGTCAGGTGCTGGGGACACAAAGATGAAAGGCACAGCCTCTGCCCTCAAGGAGTCTGCAGTTTAGATGAGAAGACAGACGTGTAACCCAGTAATTACAATCAGTGTGGTCAGAGCAATGCCAGCTGCGTGCATGGGATGCTATGGGAGCCCGAGGGTGGATGGGTGGGAGCCGGCTGGGGGGCTAGAAGGCCAGGTGGGCCTCATGGAGTGGGTAGTGTTTGAGGTGAGCCTTAGGATATAAACAGATGAGGGTGAGGGTAGGACTTAAGAACTCAAGCTCTGGGGTCAAGCTTCTTGGGTTCAGGTCTTGGCCGTGAAACCTCGAGCAAAGTGGCTGCTCTGCGTTCGGCATCTTCATTCACGAAACGGGGATTAATAACAGTATCTACCTCTTCGTGGTGCCGTAAGGGTGAAGCCACTTAAAATAGGGTCTGGTGCATAGTCAGGTCAAATAAAGAATGTGGCCCACCATCCAGTTCTACAAGTTACTGGCTACTGCAGTTGCTGACCTACAACACACCTTGAAAGGAATTCAGGGGGACAGTCAAGATGAGCCATTCTGTGCTCTGGGAAAACAGGCAGAACAGACCCTCAGATATTTTATGAAGCCAATTTCTTGCATCTTCCCATACTTATAAAAGCACTAAAATCATTAACTAAGATAGCTGTGCCTCGTGACAAGCAGTAACCTTCTACCAAAATGTGTGCTTAATTGCACGTACTCTTTCTCCAAAATCACGTCTATGCAGACCTCCCCCTCTACCTCTTCAGAGCAGTTCCTCAGAGCTATCTGAGAGGCTGTCTCCCGGGCTCTAGTCCTCCGTAAGTCCCCAAATAAAAAGGAAACTCACGTTGTGCATTTTAATTTCAGTTGACAATCAGCTCTCAAAAAAATTAACCATTGTTACTAAGTGGCCAGAGAGAGGGAAGAAGGGAAAGCTGGGCAAATGCAGGTAAAGGAGTGTTGAGGTACCAGCCGCCCTGCTTCAACTCTCTTCCCCCTGTTCCTGAGGGCGGGGATCAGACCCCCTTCATTTCCGCACCCTGTATATCGCCAAGGACAGGATTTCCATGAGGTGGTACCCTTCAAGCATGTGTTGAAATGGATTGAATGATTCTGAAATGTCAAGGCCAGGTCTGGGGTGGCCGTGGAATGCAGGAGTCTGGCTGGTGTGTGAATGCTGGCAATACGGATGCTGAGTTCCTTTGGAGGAGACAGTGGGCAGCCACACTCCCTCTCAGCAGAAGGGGTGGTCCATAGTGGTCCATCCAAGCAGCGAATGAGTTGCAATCTTCTATGCACCACCCCAGGCCTTTTCCTTTAGGGGAATTTCAGGGAGGCTGAGAAAGTGGGAAGGGGGAGGTTGGGTGAGGACCTGAAAGTATCCCACCCACCTCCCCCAAAAGAAAAACTTCCAGCAGCCCTGCGACAGCTGGAGAAGAATGGACTGATGGAGGCATAGGAAGGGTTAAGTCTGCGGTGGCAGGTTCCCCTCCTTCCAGTGCTAATTACTGGTTCAGACCACATTAATAACCCAGCCACAGGGGGAGTGCATGGAGTAAATTAGCTAGTAAGTTCAAAGGGGCCACTCCCCACCTTCTTTAATTAAGAGAGAAGCTGGCAGCCGGGGCTGCGCTCAACCTCCCTGGGGCCTTTCTGGGAAGCCGGGAGCCTCTGCCGCAGCCCAGGCAGGTGCAGTGGTAGCGCCATCTGCCAGGCAGCGTGGGCTGCACCTGCCATTAGCCCACCTGCGCTGTGGGCTGGGGTGGGGGTAGTGGGGGAACAGGTGTAAAATTTGGCCAAACCAGCATCTGAGCTCAACCCTTAGCCCTGAGAGCAGCGTAGTGCAGAGATTCAGGGCTGGGTGGAATTTGATGGGGTGTGAAGGGTGGTCCAAGTGATGCCCTGTCCCTGTCCACTCACACTCGTCCTTGTTCCTTGGACTGGCCTGAGGGCAGAATGGGGCCTTGCTTCTCCTGGGATGGGGGGAAGTGGAGAAGGGAAAAGAAAAGGTGAGATGTTTGGAGAGAGAAGGGAGCTGGCAGAGAAGGAGGCAGAGGAACGACGCCGGGCAGGAAGGAGGGGCCTTCAGCAGGCTTTTGGAAGGCAGGGGTGAGGGAAGAGGGCAGAGTGTTGCTGGAGGGTGGGTGGGCCTCTGGGTGCCACTTCCAGGGGGCTGTGCAGGATGGGGCTGAGGGAGCAGGTAGGCCCCCACCTGAGCCCTGTCTTTGTGTCTACCTTCACCGGCGCAGTTCCCATAGAGTGGACCAGCTGCCTGCACCATCTGCCAGCCGACACCATGCCAGCCCCAAAGGCTGCCCTGGGCAGGGGAGCCCATGTGCGCCCCTCCCTTGGCAGCCAGCTTGGGCAGTGGCTCTGCCATGTGGATGAAGACTGGGTTTGAGGCAGTGCATGCATGTGTGAAATGGAAGTACTTTACCTGCCCCAGAGGGCACTCTCATGTATGCACAGCCCCGAAGATAACTCCCTCTTCAGTATTTGTGCCCGGGGCACTTCTCTTGCCTCACCCTCATCTTGGCCCTGCTGGGAGTAGTTAGAGGGAATGGAACCTTCGATGGACCAGGGGCATGGTGCTCACAGTTGCAAGGGGGGAAACTGAGGAGAGGGGAAAAAGAAGGAGCCTATGAGATGGCTCGTGGGAGACTGGGTGGGAGGCATCTGAGGCTTTGGTAGGGTCTGCTTTTGAGGCAAAGACATACCTTCCCAGAGACTCAAAGGAAGGCTGCACAAAAAAGAAACAAAGCCACAACTGTGTTGTGTTGAGGTAGAGAACGGAGGCTGGAAACTCATTTCTTCATTCACTCACTTACCCAGCATTTGTTGGATTCCCATCTTGTGCACCGAGCAAACGTTTATTGAACACCTAGCCTGTGTAAGCCCCATGAGGTCAGGAACACATGCAGATGAGGACAGTGACCACGCTCCTGACCATGAAAGGAACAGTCACTATTCATCTGTACGTCACATGGGAGAGAATTCCAGAAACGAGTACAACATAGGCTCTTCACTCACAGAGAGTGGTGCGTGCTGAGTGAGCCGCCTTAGCGATGCTCCAGGTCTGCTGGGTGCAGCTCCTTCCGGCCGTGTAGACGGAGATACGATATGGGAAAGCCTGGGTCTTTCCCGTGCCGTGCACCTTGTCTGTACTTACCGTCATCACAGGTGATACAAAGATGAAGGACACAGAGATGTTTAGTGGATGCTTATTTAAATAAAAAGGTAGGAGGTCTATTTCCTAGCCAAATTAAAAATAACAAACCTGGAACTGAAAGAAATTCCAGTATGTGCAACCTGCCTGGTTCAGGAAAAGGCCATGCTCCATTTTTATTGTTTGTATCTAAATGGTGTAGCCACATACAAGGCAAAGATGGGGTGTCTAATGATATCTTACAAAGAAGCTGTCCGATGAACGGATCAGACCACAGCGCAGGCTGGTGCTCAGGTCCCTGACTACCCAAGAGGGCCACCAGAGGGCAGCCTTGAGGCTGCTGGCTGTCCTCTTACTCTCTACCTTAAGGGGGCAGCTCCAGGCTGCCTCTCCATCCTCATCCCAGCTAAGAAGTTCTTTCTTTTCTTCTTACTATGTAAGTGATACGACCCCACAGAGCACAGGTCCCTAGATGAGGCACAGCCAACTCGCCTCTGCTGGATATGTGTCTGCATTTAGCTCTGACTTGGAGAGAAAAATAAGGTTTCATAGCTCAGAGCCTTGATCAAGTGTGGAGGCAGCTTGTGTGCATTCCTGTGGGGAGCAGCACAGTGGCAGGCTGGGCAATGTGGCATCCTTTTTCTGTGTCTGCAGGGTCTGGCCCTGAAGAACTGTGAGGGTCCCATCCTCCCTTGGCTGTGGCCCTTCCTCTCCTGCCCGCCAGCATCCTCTAGGAACAGAAGTAGCTGCCTGCTCTGAGGACTGGAGATGGGATTTGGGGCTGGGTGTGCTGATATCAGGCAAAACAGAGAGAGTCTGGGCTGAAGAGTGTGGGTTTCCTCTGTTTTCTCTATGTTCTTTTGGGAATTCTCGTTTCCTTTAATTTTCCTAGTAATTGTTCATTTTGGAAAATCCCAGCTCATTCTTTTATAAATTAAGGGTCTGAGGAGAGAGCAAAGTGTCTGAGAGACCAGGCCAGTGGTGTGTGAGAGTGTGTGTGTATGTGTGTGTGTGTGTAAGATAGGACTTCTCACCTTCCTGTGTTGAAGGAGCTGTTTTTCTTTTTTATTTCCAATCCACTGTGGAGCTATACTTTGTAAATTATAATAAAAACACATTACCAAAAATAAATATTAAAAATTAAAAGAGAGGTACCAAATATGAGCCCTAATTTTTATGATTATATTAAACAAACATAAAATTACTCTGTCAGATTGCTATAAAACTTCCTAAATTTTTGCTTGCGATTCTTCTATTATCTTGCCTGGACTGGTAAATCCAATTCACAGACAGCCCCCAGTCCATGGACCAGGCGTTGAGTTCTCGGGTGTAGGGCAGGGAGGAGAGAGGTATGAAAGCTCAGGAAGCAGGTGGCCTGTGGGGACGACTGGAGATGTTTTCACTTTTTAGAAGGGGGCGACTCATTTACAGAGGGCGTGGCGGGGGCTTAGGGTCGGGGGTGCTTCCTGATTGACCAGTGAAGACCCTGTGCTTCTAGATGGTGTGTGCCTCTCAGTCATCCTGGCAGAACCAAGGAGGCAAAGGGGAGGGGACCCTGGTGTATTCTGACTGTGGATTTTGACTGGTGATGACAGAGACAGGAGGATGAGGAAGACGAAGGGTTGGGTTGGGAGGAGGGAAGGGAGAAAACGGAGTAGAAGACAAGTGAGAAAAAAGGCTAGCATGGGTTGCCTTATCCACTGTCTTTACCCAGAGCAGAACCACAGGTAATTAAGCTCCCGAAGGCAAGTGGACTGATTAACTTCCATGACGTTTGTATTTTGGAGGTAGACCAGGCTTTTAGAACTTTCATGTAATAGATAGCTAGTGAGAAGCAGCCGCATAGCACAGGGAGATCAGCTCATGGTTTGTGACCACCTAGAGGGGTGGGATAGGGAGGAAGGGAGGGAGATGCAAGAGGGAGGGGATATGGGGATATATGTATACATATAGCTGATTCACTTTGTTATACAGCAGAAACTAACAACATTGTAAAGCAATTATACTCCAATAAAGATGACTAAAAAAAAAAACCTTTCATGTAGTTGCAAATCGCCTGGAGATCTTATCGAAATGCAGATTCTGATTCAGCAGATCTGGGCATCTGCATTTCTAATAAGCTCAAGGGGAAATGCAAGATGTTTGCAGCTCTGAGGGGCCAAGAGTGCTCTGAACAAGCAGACTTCTTGCTAGGGGAGGAGGGTACCAGAGTTGCTAACTCGGACCTCACTCCCCATGATTCCAGTGCAGAGGCCTGCAAGCTGGGGCCAGGGCCTCACAGGAGCAAACACATAAATCCCTCACTGAGCACTCTGGCCGTGGACTGGACTCCCCTCCCTTCCCACCCCCTGTCCCGGCAACTCTACCCCTTCCTCGCCCTCTCATCTCCCTCATCACCAGTCAGGTCCACAGGGAGTCCATTCTCCTTGAATAAACCAGACCAAATGATCAGGCAGCCCAAATGATCACTACTGATGAATAATATGAAACAAATCGATACACCTTTATTAACAGATAGATTCTACAACCATGTATCTTTTTAAACATGTAAGGGGTAACAGAGTTTTCTGATGTGCTCCACAAACGGGGCTTCTGGCTGCTGGGCTGGGGAACTGGAGGACCACAGAAGAGGCTGGGGTCCCCTGGTCTCCTGGGGAGCGCTGGGGGCTGCAGATGGCTGTGTGTCTTGGGGGAAGGAGATGCCATCACTAGCAGAGGACCCCCTCGCAGTCACCAATGGGATCTTGCTGGGTCCTGCTTCTTCTCTTCAGCCCCTTGGCTGGAACCTCACTGAGCTGAGGGCATCTCACCTCAGCGTAGATGACAGAAATGTCCTGTGGGAGAGTCAGGTCAGGGTGAGGAAGCAGACGTCGCACAGAAAATGAGCAAAGAGCAGGGGTCCCATCTCACCGTTTCCCACCGGGCTGACTGGGCAGGCCTGGCTGTGGGGAAGAGCAGCAGTAAGGTTAGGGCACTGGGTTCACGGGGTGTCCCCTTCCCGCCTCCTCGTGGCACCTTCCTCCAGAGAGCACGGGCCAGCCAGGGTGGGGGGCTGCTCCCTCTTTTACTTCTCAGGGCTTCTCACCCTCAAGCTGAAAGTAGGTGGGCCTGGGAATCAGGAGACCCCAGCTGTGTGACCGGAGGCCAGTCACTTGGCCTCTGAGTCTCAGCTGCTTCAACCAGGAAAGGGTGGTGGTGTTGACAGTGACTGCCTTGCAGGATTACGGTGTGAAGCAAGAGATAAGAAGATGCCCAAGATACTTCTAGAATAACTCCTCCATTAGACAGCCACTCTGCACCAGGCAACCATTTAGCTGTGAAAATTATATAGCTGATCTATCTAGTATACTGCTAACAGAACTATAATTCTGTATATCCAATCTCACATCAGTCTTGCCAAGTACGGGGTATTGATGCCTTCTCACAGTGGGAAGAGAAAACTGAGGCTCAGCGAGGTGAATAACTCTCCACAGTCACTTCCATAAGGAGTGGAACCGTAGGCAAATATTGAATCTTTGTGAACGTGAAGCATTCTCCCACTGATAGAAGATCCAGTATCCCCTCTTCTATGCATCTTGGAACATAACGGCTCTCCTTACTCTGGGTTTCAGATCCCTGCACCCACCCAACAGGGAAAGCCTGCTCAGAGCAGCTGCAGACAGCTGCAAGCAGACTGTCCCAGACCCCACCCCTGCCCCGCATCATGCCTTCACCCTTGTTGCCTGCTAGGATTAAAAGGATCACATTTTCTTATTTTCCTTATTTTGCTAATGAAAACCATAGAGTCTGAGGTTGGCTTCATTTTTCCTTTCTTATGTTTAAGTCCTCATTGTGACTCTTCTCAGGAAGGAACTGGACCCACGTGTGCTTTCCCATCTGCTTGGCAATGCTCTGGCCAGCAACCGGTCAGGTCCTGGGAGAAGCGCCCTGAGTCCAAGAGACTTCCTGGCTGTCCACTTTCCCTAGTGCCCTTTATGGGTGGGAGCAGAGTCCCTAGACTGACTCAGATCCATTTGACAGACCAGGAATTGAAATCTCAGCACAGGTGAGACATAAAACAAGCTCCCTATTTTTGAACACCTATTGCATACCAGACAATCTTTATGGATTCTAGAACCCAGGTTCTATTCCTAGCCATTCATAATAATCTTACAAAGTAGGTATTATCTACACTTTATAGATTAGGCTCGGAGAGCTTAAATAACTTGCCCACAGGCACACAGTGAGTACAGAGAGTCAAGTTTTGAACTCAAGTCTGACTGACTCCACATTCCACAGAACTCAATTCTGACTGACTCCCACATTCCTCTCATGATTCCACGTTGCCTGTTTGTCTGTTAGAGCGTGGACTAGCCTTCCCCGTGCCTGCCGTCTTGACTCTGGTATCGGTGGCCGGGGTTCATGGTCTTTATGGCTTCCTCTTAGAGCTGAGGCTGCCCTGTTTAGACTTACACTCAGGGTCAAAGACAAACTGTATCATTCTTTTTCTGTTTTTCCTTTGTTGCTCCACAATGCTCAGAAAAGGGCAAAAAAAAAAAAAAAAATTCCTCCCTAGTTGGGATGGTAACAGTGGAGGTGTGGTGGAGATGATGTAGATGATGGTGATTATGGTGGACATAGCGCTGTTTGTGGTGATGGTGGTAGTGAAGGAGGAGATGATGGTGGTGGTGGTGAAGGTGGCCGTGGTCAGGGTGTTGTTGGTGGTCATGGTGATGTTGGTGGTCAGGGTGATGTTGGTGGTCAGGGGCATGATGGTGGCCAGGGTGATGACAGTTGTCATGGTGATGATGGTGGTAGTGATACCTCACCCTAGGCCCCAAACTTCCCCTTTACATTAGCAAAGATGTCAAGTTTGACCCGAGATCACTCACCTTTCACTCTCCTTTGGGATCGTACGTACCACAGAGCAGATAACCCCTTCATCGTTCTCATTCTGGCAATGAACTGAAAGAAGGAACGCAGCTGCAGCTTGAATAGGACCCACCTGCTCTCCCACCTCAAGACCTAGAAACACTTATGGAGGGAAGCTAATTAGGGGCTGTTATGGTGATAGATAACTGGCAGTGGGAAGCAGTTATTACTGTGGGATATCCATCTTGGTAGGAGGTGCCTGACCCCTGAAGCAGATTCTAGCAGCTTCCCCAGCCCTGACATTGTTTAAACTAGAGGTTGGCAATCTTTTTCTGTAAAAAAGGTAGTGAATATTTTAGGTTTTGCAAATACCTGGCTCTGTAGTGTGATAGCAGCCACACATGACACATACACAATGCTCTTTACAAAAATACTTGGTGGACCAGACTTGACCCATGGTCAAATTTGCTAACCCTGGGTCTCCACCTCCCTCTTGGGGGCTGGGATCCCTTCCTGCTTCCCTCTCCCACCACCAGCTCCATGCACTGGCCCCTTAAGCTCTCCCCAGAAGCCATCTGTTTCCTTCCCCAGATGACTCTGATTCCTGAGACTCGGGTTCATGAGGCCTTCTTTCTCATGACTCCCCTTAAGAGGCCTTTCTCTGCCTTTATGGACAGACACTGGTGCTACTGCAAGTCCTTACCATTGACATACAGTAGGTGTTCCTCTCCACCTGTGGCTGGGGGCAGATTCTGGGGTGGAAGGGGCCCTAGGAGATGCAAAGGCACAATTCACTGAACGCCCTCAGAGAGCAGAGTGGACAGTGGGGACAGAGAGGCTGAGAGAAAGAATGTCAGTTACCTTTAAAAAATTGTATAAAATTACCTTTAAAAATTGTATAAAAAATTAAACTAAAAAAAAAAAAAAGAATGCCAGCAGAGGTTGCTGGAGGTCTGAGGCTGGTTTGTTAATGAGGGTTAATTCACAGGTCTGGACATGGTTAACTTTTTTTTTTTTTTTTTTTTTTGCGGTACGCGGGCCTCTCACTGTTGTGGCCTCTCCCGTTGCGGAGCACAGGCTCCGGACGCGCAGGCTCAGCGACCATGGCTCACGGGCCCAGCCGCTCCGCGGCATGTGGGATCTTCCCGGATCAGGGCACGAACCCGCGTCCCCTGCATCGGCAGGTGGACTCTCAACCACTGCGCCACCAGGGAAGCCCTGGACACGGTTAACTTTTATGGGATGTTTCCTTTGAAAAATACCCCAGAGGGGAGGATGGCTCCATGGGAATCACAAACTGGGAGGAAGCAGGGTCAGAAAGGATGGGTCACATCCTTGCATCGAAAGGGCTCATACCCACCAGTCAGGCTGCTTTTCAGAAGGAGGAAAAGCTAATAACTTTGACAACATACCATGTGCCAGAAACAGGGCCAGGGAATTCAAATACAGCGTCTACTTAATAGCAAACCTCCTTACCCAGGGACAAGCACAGAGCTGGGTGTCACAAAAGCCCCCCTACCTAAATCTTTGGTGTCCGATGTTCTTCACAACCACCTTGCAAAGGTTGATACTGTGATTTCCATGTTTTAGATGAGGTGACTGAGGTTGGCAGAGGTGACTTCTTCGAGGTCACACAGAAAGTGGTGGAGACAGAACCTTAATCCAGTGTGTACACTTCTTCTCCACGAGCATGCTACCTCTGTGAAAGCAGGCATTCCCAGAACTTTAAAAATTAGCTCTTGGGATAGGAATTGGGTCACAGGTGGATGTTGGGTCACCTGGCTCATGCCTGGTGTCCAAGAAATATTCATTAGCTCTAACAGCAAGAAAGCATCAGAGTTGCCAGGTAGCACCTTTGGACATGGCTCCTCCTGTGAAACCAAGAGGGCATTTGTGGAGACTCAGAGAGGCCTCTGATGCTCGTTTGTCAAGGCTGTGTTTCTGAGTCTCCATTCGCGAAGAGCTCTGTGACTTTGATGGAGCTGTGTTTTATGGGAGGTGTGACAGTGGGAAATGAGATGAACACTTTTAAGCAAACAACCAGAACTTGCACACTTAGGTAACTGCTACTTCGAAGTAGACCTCCTGTATGACCACATCCTTGTCCTAGTAATTCCATAATTGGTCAAAATGTCTTGAACCTTGCCTTCAGAGATACAGTCTGTGGAATATCTTCAGTGGTGGCACATTTGTGTTTGCTGAGGAATGGATATGCTGTCTGGAAATGGTTAAAGGTCTTCTAAAGCTGGGCATGAAGAAAAAAGCTGTTGGACTGTGTTTCTTGTGTGGCTATGGAATTGGGCCTGAAGGTGGTTTTCTGAGTGACATTCTAAGGAAGGTTGTGTGCCCCTGAGCTTCTGAGATGATAGGCCCACCACCAGGAAATTTATTTTCATGAGAGACAGGTTCCTTAACAAAATGGAGCCCAGGTGCTCCCAGACTGGCAGTAGGGGTGGGGTAGGGGAGTGGGAATGGGTGGGGAGGCAAAATCGCCACATGAAGAGGGACGCTCCTTTGTTCCCTGTGAAAGGCATCTTCCTCTTGAAGATCTTTCACCAGTGACTGTTCCTCCACCATCTTGTTTGGGCCTGGGAGGGAGATGGCTGTACTGTGTTGCTTTGCCTTTAACTCTCTGACCCAGAGGTGAGTGGGCAGAAACACCCATGCTATTGAGACCAGGCTGGCTTTATGACAGGTGCAGAGACGGTAGAATTCACAGATCTTCAGTTCATGGTCCCCTACTCCAGCTGCTTCCTCATCTAACTCTGGGCCTGGCTCCATCTTTCTCCCACTGCACAGGTATACCTTAAAGCAAATCTGGCCTGCCTTCATGAAATCTAGACTCAAGACTAAAGGAAAGGAGAGATGAGAAGTTAGATGGACAAAGGCTGCTAAATTAAAAAGGGGAGAGGAAGTCGGAGCCTGGCTCAAGCCCTAACTGGGGTGCCTGGTGAGGTAGTGGGTCTAGGGCTGGGGAGAGATGCTTTCAGGTATCCTGGCTGATGGTCAGGGAAGACTACTTGGATTGCAGGACTGGGTGGTCTTCCTCAAAGAACAGTCTGGCTTAGCTCTCAGAACTCATCACAAATTCCTTAACTGAGGGAGCTGCCAACTTGAAAAAGCAAATCTAGCTGGAGGTCTATAAGAACAATTACTTTTGCCCTTGGCAAGTGGAAAATAAAAATATTGCCCCCAGGGAGGAAGAAGCAGGTGGATTTGAAGCCCTAGGAATAAACTGGCACCAGATAGCTTTGGCACTGGGAGCCATTCCCTTCAACATAGCCCCAGGCAAACAAGGAGTAGAATAAACTTGTAGCCACCAAAGGTGATTGCTTTGAAAGCCAACATTCGTGCTTAATTATCATGACCATGACAGGAAGAAGAGGAGAGTCTGGGATTTCAAAACCAATAGGTGACCTAGAAATGCCATTTATCTGATTATTTTCACTTATTTCTCCCTATAGAATTCTCTCCCTATAGAATTTCTCTCATCTGAATTTTAGCTAAACTTTTGGCCTTTCGCTGCTGTGGCCTCTCCCGTTGTGGAGCACAGGCTCCGGACGCGCAGGCTCAGCGGCCATGGCTCACGGGCCCAGCTGCTCCGCGGCATGCGGGATCTTCCCGGACCGGGGCACGAACCCGTGTCCCCTGCATCGGCAGGCGGACTCTCAACCACTGTGCCACCAGGGAAGCCCTTAGCTAAACTTTTTATGACTCTGATCAGAGGAATTACAGAATGGATAACAGGAGCAAAGGCAGTTTGGGAACCTGCCGGGGTGATGCGCTCAGAACAGAATGAGAATGTACTGAGCACCCACTCAGTGCCAGGCTAATACATCAGGTATGAGACAGATGTCACCTCACTAACTCAGACCGTACAACATCCCAAGAGGGAGACATTTAGTGAAACTTGAAAGGAGCTGGCCCAAGGTTACTGAATTAGCAAATAGCAGTGCTGGGACCGGGCTATTCCCCAGTGCTCTCCACCACACTTCCTTCCTGATGAGTTGACAGCCATGGACTCTCACCCAGGGCACACCACGGCACAGAAGTGTGTATGCGTGAGCATGCACGTGCACTGGAGTTCTCACGTCTTCTTTCTCCTCCGCTAAGCAGGCCGGAGCTCTGCTGACTTTAACAAGAGAACTGGAGGCCTTGGGTTTGTTCAGTACATTCACAGCCACAGACTGTCTTCCAAATGTGAAGGACGTTGATCTACACCTCGTTTGGCTTGTAAGAAATCCTGTTTGTGCCTTTATTCATGCCCCAGTGGGCAGGAGTGTGTCTGTGCGCTCTTTGGGTGATTGGGCGTGTGAGACACTGTGTCTGTGTGTGCGAGCTCTGGAAGCTGTAAGTGTCCCTCCTGGGGCCCCTTTGTATGACATGTGAAGAAAAGTCCCTCCTCCTCCCAATACCCAGAAGTAAGCAGTTGGTCCTGTCAGCCTCTGGCTTTCCAGTGGCTGGGCTGTACCTGGCATAGGGATTCGGCAGTCAAGAAAGCCAGAAAGAGTTACTGACCAGTTTTTCTTCAGGGTCTGAAATACCCTAGAAGTGCAGCAGCAACGACCATCATGACAGGCAGGCTTGCAGGCAACCAGGGAACCAGCCAGTTGTTGCTAGTGGGGACAGATAAGACCCGAGGACCTGGGGGGTGAGTAGGGGTGACCATGAGCATTGAGGATGAAATTAACAAATGCACCCCAGACTGGCACAGGAGAGGCAGAGTGGTTGGCATTAGTGGGAACCCCCTGGCCTGAAGGAGCCTTGCCAGTGGGAATGAGGGGTGGATCAAAGGATGTCCACATGGATGGGCAATTCCACGGAAGACCATGTGGCCCTCCCTCCATGGTGCCCCTCGCTCTCTGTGGACTTCATTCTTTCCCTGCCAGGTTCAGTGGACAGGTGCTCCAAGCGGGGTCCATGCTCAGTCAGTCATGCAGTGCCTGCTCTGTACCCAGCATGGCGGGAGGAACACAGAGGAGTGAGATCTGACCCTGGCCACCTTGCTGGGGCTCACAGCCCAGTTGGGGGACAAGACTTACCATCCACGGAGAGTGTCTCAGGCTTGCTTGTCTCTTTGGAGACACTGTTCTCAGCCTCGCAGGTGCAGTCCCCAGCATCCTGCTCTGACATCACCGGGAAGAGGAAGGAGACGGCTCCACCATGGGGAGCCACGTGGTTCCGCAGGGTGTCCCCATTGAGGTAGAATGAGGATCGGAGGGGAGGAGCTCCACAACTCGGCTGGTGGGTCTCAAGGTGAGCAGAGGACGGGACACAGGAACCGGGGCAGCACACAGTTGGAAAGGTCAGCGGGACCCCCCGGGCTCCTCCCTTAGGAACCCCTCCCCACATTCCCAGGGGGCCCCACTGCCTAGGCCCCTGGGGAGGATCTCCCCGTCCTCCCCTCACCCTGACCTCCAGCTGGGGACTCTGTTTCTGGACCCAGCCACCCTCAAGGGCCGCCTCGCACCAGTAAAGCCCAGAGTCTCCCTCCTCGGCTGCTGGGATGCAGAGTTCTGGGTGGAGGCCCCTGTCCTGCAGGGTGTGGCCCTCCTTGTGCAAGGAGAAGAGGAGCTGCCAGGCTGACCTCTGGCTCCCCTCACGGGGGAGTGGGCTCCGGGCTCCCCCCACGGAGCTCACGAGAGGGGTGGGCTCTCAGCACAGGAGGCAGGAAGAGCTCTGGGAAGAGGCAGCCCGCAGCTCAGGAGGGGAGCCCTGGACATCGAGGCCCCTGGAGTCTGAGGTGAGGTCTGAGCTTCGGCACATCCCGGGCCCTGCCCTGTGCCTGTGGGAAGTGCTGTCACTGTCTCCCAGCACCTGGCCTCTCATCCCACACACCAGCTCTGAACCGACTCCCACAGCCCTGAGCCCCTCTGGGGTCCCAGAAGGCCAGAGACAGAAGGGCCTTAAAGGTCACCTAGTGCCCAGAGGAGAAGGGTCTGGCTCAGGGTCTCAAGGGGGGCAGCATCAGGGCTGGTTCTTCCCTTTCCCCACAGGGCATCTTCCCCCGCTTCCCTGGCTCCAGACATGCCCCATGGGGGGGGCAGGGCATGTGGACAGCATCCTGGACACCTCAGGGCCCTGCAGATTGGCCCAGCATCAGGGGAAGCCAGAGAGAGGGGCGTTGCCCAGAGCGCTGCTGACCTGTAAGACCAGACCGCTGAGCAGCACCCTTCCCGCTCCCCCCACTCCCCCAAGTTGTGACTCACCTTGGACTTGAACTGTGACAGTCCTTGAGGTTCGTCTGCCCACATATTGCATGTATGTCACCTGTCCAGTGCAGCTGTACCGGCCACTGCTGTTCACTGTTGCTGTTCCCGTGGACAGAGTCTGGCTGTCCTTAGAGAGATGGAGGAATTTTCCGTCCCTGTAGAATTTCACCTGGGACAGTGCTGCGTTCCTCCTTCCCCAGCAGCGCAGAGTCAGGATATCCCCTTCAAACACGGGGTCTGGCTGCACTTGGAGGCTGAGCCAGGCTGTGAGACACAGAAGCAGGGTCACCCTGGAGCTGCAGGTCCCTCAGTCCCCCAGCCTAATGCCTCCCGCAGCCTAATGCCTCCCGCAGCCTAATGCCTCCCGCAGCCCTCCCTGGGATGGAGGCTCCTGGTCAGCTCCTTCACAGCTGCCACTGTCTCCCAGGCCTTCACGCCAGCCCACGGCCCGGGCTTCTGCTTTCCTGCACCCCTCCTTCCTCTCTCCTTCCTCTGCCCTTCTCCTCTATTCCCCCCTCCCCTCCCCTCCTCTCCCTGTGCCTTCTCTCTGGCCTCTTTCCCTCCTTGTCTCTTTTTTTTTTTTTTTTGGCTGTGACCAGAGATCTAACCCGTGCCCCCTGCGGTGGAAGTGTGGAGCCTTAACCGCTGGACCTCCAGGGAAGTCCCCCTCCTTGTCTCCTTTTATACTGCATTTTCCTCCGCCACCTTGACAAGCCTGAGTCAAGTTGGATTCCTTCCATCTATTGTTCTGCTTCATTCCTCCTTATTAGATTCTCACTCCCCTAGATGGGTTTCTTTTCCTCTGGTGACTCCAGTGCAGCTCTTTCTTCAGCGTCCACCTCTGATGGGAGCTGCACCCCTGTCCACCAGAGAGGAGCTGGAGGGGTGGGTGTTGGACGTGCCACGGCCTGGGCTCGCTCCCTCCTGCTTCCCTCATCAGGTTTCCCCAGGCCCAGCCTCCATTGGCACTCCCAGCAGTGAGGTTCATTTCCACCACAGTCATGGTGCAGGAGCTGTCATTTCTGTCCTCATTTCTAAAATGCATTTTATGTCCTGACATGGACAAGAAAAGAGCTCCTGGGGACCCAGCATCACCTGCAGGGCAATCCCAGGCTGGCCTGGCCCCAGGACATACTCCTTTGATCCCAGACAGCCTCAGAAGCCTGGGAGTAGTGATGAGTAATCAGACAGGGAGCCCTGAGGAGAGTCCCAGAACATCCTGCCTTTGTCTGGATCCACCTGGATCCCTAGACCCCATTCCCCTCCCTCTAGACTAGGGAATGATGCTCACAGCCCAGCTGAATAATGGGTCTTGCTTCCCTGGCTGCTCTTTCTAGCAGCACTAACTACTGGTTTAGATTTCCCTCCCTGGCGTACACAGAACATGTCCTTGGAGGTCAAGAGGTTTCTAGGCCAGAGTTTCCACCTACTTGACAGAGGCTCCATGGAGTTCAGTGGGACAGGATGGGCGGGAGGGCAAAGGTAGCCAAGAGAGAAAGAAGGAAGATCCCCAGAGAAAGATGCCTGCTTCTTTGAACATTAGAGGGATGGAAGGGAGTCCAGAGCCTTGATGAATGGAGGTTACAGGAGCTCCAGAGCCACACTGAGAGGAGGAGATTGAAGCCATTGCTACTTGTAAGGGAGCCGGACAGTGGCCGAGAGCCATTCTTCTGGGACTTGAGTCACCCTATAACTATCCTCGGCCTGAGAGAGTAGAGTGCTGGGTTTTTCCTCTTCCTGGGCATTAGTGAAGACTCCTGAGGAAGAAGCCTAGGCAGGTGCTGCTCTGAAGATGTTTCTGGGGGACCCAATGGCCCTGACTTTTCCCCGTCCATTAAGTTTTGGCCCAGAGACACACTTGGAAATGAAAGAGACATAGACAAGACTCACCAGTTTTCCCTACGCAGGGAACTGCAAGAGAACAAAGTGATAGAATTCGATTAAGTAGCAGAAAAAGCTTTCTGACAAGGAGGACTGTCACCTTATAAATGGGTGCTAACATCCATTCAACCAGTCAACCACCCAGCCCCCTAAGCACCTAACTATCTAAGCTGCCCAACCGCTCAGTCACCCAGCCACTCAACACCCAGCCACCCAACTATCTAACCACTTAACCACCCAGTCACCCAGACATCCAGCCACCCAGCCACTCAGCCACTCAACTTTTACGGTGGACCTGCTGCCCAGAATCCTTTACCTTATCTCAGTTCAAATGCCACCTCCTTAAACAGGTCTTGCTGGGGGCCCCCAGTCAAAAGAATTCTCTTCCATCACTATCACAATACCCTATTGTATTACCATCAGAGCACTTATCACCGTTTGAAATTATCTTATCATTAAATTGCCTACTTGTTATCACCTGTCTCCCTCTGTCTAGAATGTAAGTCCCATGAGACCAGGTACTCTGCCTGTCTTGTTCACTGCGGTGTTACCTATGCCTAGTGCCTGTGCCTGGATCGTGGTCTGTGTTTAACAAGCATATACTGAATAAATGCATGAATGCTTTCCTTTGTGCCCACTCATGCGGGGCAGGGAACAAAAATAGAAAACATAGGACTAGATTCTTACTCTAATGTGCCGAGGGTCCAATTTACACCTCCAGAAGAACTCAGACAGCAAAGGCAGGACCTGATTCCTGTGGTCCATCTGTCCACAGAGCTCTGGGGAATAGAGTATGGGAGTGATCAGAGGAAAGGGGTGAGATTTCCCTGGAGGAGTAATCATTAAAAGGTCGTGGGACGTGGACGGGCAGCTCGGACGGATAAGAGAAGCATCAGCGGGCCAGCGCATCACACACCGTGTCGCACCTTGTATACATTGCACTAATGCTTCTAGAGGAACCAATGTTTGAGGAGAACAGGTGGCCAGGAAAGAGAAGCCAAACCACAAAATGATGACAGATGAAGTGAGGCAGGTGTGATCAGTCCAAGGGATGGAGGACCCTAAATTGAGGGGCACAGTTGCATATAAAGCAGTGGAGCGTATTCTGGGCTTTGGGGCAAGCGGTGAAAGGATGAATGGTGTGGGGCTGAGTGCAGTCAGTCCAGCCTGTCCCCAGGCATTTACCTGTGCCCTTCATTGTTGGGTGCTGTGCAGAACACTGAGAAATGCAAGAATGGCCTTGGAGGGGGTGGGTGAAGACCCCCTCAGCAGATGTTTGGCATGTTCATTCACAGGCTGTCATCCTTGCTGTCCACGTGACCTGGGACACATTCTCTACCTACTCAGGTTAGCTCACCTGCAGGTTCTCAGTGTGTGCAGAATCTTTTTCTTACCATCCCTCCATCCCTCCATGTCTAAACACATCTTCTATGAGCTTGGTGTAGTGGAGAGCATGCAGGCTTTGGAACCAGACGACCTGGACTGGACTCATGAATCTGTCTCTTTCTGTGTGACCTTGGACAAGTTGTTTACAGTTCAAGAGCCTCCAGTTCCTGGTTCTGTCTGTATAACAGAAAAGATAATAGTCATTTTTCCCTTACAGAGTAGTTACATAGATTGTATCAACCCTCTGCCTGGGAAGGTGGTTACTACATTAACTGAAAGCAGAAAGAAGGCCTGACCTCAGAGTGACTAAGTAAGACCTTACTGGGTAGTGATGCCTCCCCTTCCTTTCTATTCTCCCCCGGAAAACGATTTTGCAGCTACAAAGCGATGAACAGACAGGGTTGAGGGGACTGACGCCTATAACAAGAGAGAAGGCATCCAGGGAGCATAGGCACTTCAAATGAGCTCGTGTCCCCAGATCCTGATGACTTGCAGTCCAGGGCACTGCAAGACCTTGCGGCTGTGACTGCAGGACCACAGTGTATAATCAAGACAGCCGCCAACTGGGGACAGAGTGGGCGACACCTCCCTACAGCAGTTCCTATAAAGAAGACCCGAGGGCCTCAGTGAGCTGCAGGCTGAAGATGTGACAGCGTGATGAGATAGCTGAGAGCTATTGTCACGCTAAGTCGCACAACAGAGTCCCGAATGATGCAGGGAGCAGCCCCACTGAGCTCGGCACTCAGGCCACTATGGGAGGGATGAGAAAGCCCAGCTCCTGGCCCACTGACAAAGCCCTCAAGATCAAGCAGACTAGGACAATGACCAGAGTCTAGAAATCATTTCCTATTAGAGGGATTGGGAGATATTTATCCGAGAAAGACGGGAGAGAGTACACAGGGATACACAGTGGCCTTCAAATACTTGATGGGCTAAGCTTAAAAGAAGGGAGAGACTTGTTACTTCATAGGGCAGAAGTGGAACCAATTCACGGAAGTTAGATCAGAGAGGCAGGTTTCAGTTCAACATGAGGAACTATGTCACAGTCGAGTTCTACCATGTTGGAACATGTTGCTTTGCCAAGCTGTGGCTGCCATGCAGCTGGGAGGGTCGTGCGTCACAGATGCTGTGTTTGCACATGGGGGGCGGGTTCCAGTATTGAGAGTGAAACTGGCTAATGCCCAGCTCAGCGGAAGATCAAGGTTCATCTCCTAAACTTTAAATACATCTTTAGCGTACAGCCATGTACCAGCATGTTCAATGTCAGGCCTTCTAGCCTCTTGAATCCCTGATAGCCAATACTAATAATAGGCACCATTTATTGTGTGACCATGTCCTGCCAGGCACTTTACATGAATTTTATCTTCTAGTTTTACCTGATTAGAATCCAACTATACCCAGACTAGAGGTAGTGAGGTAGAATGGAGAAAGCACGGGGTTTGACATCATATGAACTTGGGTTTGCATTGTTACCAGGGTAATTGTGCTCTTGTTAGCAGCGTAATTCTAGGCAAGTTTCTTAAACATTTTTGAACCTCAGTTTCCTCAACTGTTTAATAGAGATAAAAAAAAAAAAACCTGCCCTATAACGTCCTGAAGGTTAGATGAGATAATGTATGTACTACAAAGCAGGTATTCAGTGTCTTGTTTTCTCTGTCTCTCTGTCCACATCTGAGAGGAAATAGCAGCTTTACCTTTACGGTAACTCCGTTCCTACACACTTAGCCGTGGGGTCTGAATCTTAGGCTGGCTTTCTGGGGTCCTGAGCCTCAGGTGTGACTCAGTCCTGCCTGGGTTCCCCATACTCTGTCCACTAGTCAGCCCGTCACTGACTCTCCCTCCCTCTTCCTTTGCTCTCTCCCATCCAGATCCTGGGGTACACGCTGGGAAACTCTTAGACTTTATCTAGTCAAGTCCAAGGGCTGTTCCTTCCACAAGGAAGTGATTTGCCCTTGGCAACCTCTCCTCTGGGGTGTATCCGGGCACAAGGCCATCCTGTCCCTGCACTAACGTGAGCACTGACCTTCTCACTTGTCCAAACGGCCATTCATAGAACACACAGGGCAACACGGTGATGTTGGGGAAGGAAGAGCCCTGAGTGAAACAGGTATTTTCTTCCCAGGGGATAAATGCCCACAAACTCTGTCTAGGAAGCAAGTGTATTTAGGAATGGTTTTGCTTTTCTGGTTCAATGAAAACAAACAAACTTCTGGGACCAAGTTTAAAACAAAAAGTGAATCAACTCAGAAACCGTAAAGCACTATGTGCTCAGACTTGTTCCTTTTAAGTGTAGCAGGGGGACAGTAGATGAGCCTGAACCGAGCCTGGGCCGAGCCTGGGCTGAGCCTGAGCCGAGCCTGAGCCGAGCCTGGAGGAACCTGAGCCGAGCCTGGGCCGAGCCTGAGCTGAGCCTGAGCCGAGCCTGGGCAGAGCCTGAGCTGAGCCTGGGCTGAGCCTGGGGGAGCCTGAGCTGAGCCTGAGCTGAGCCTGAGCTGAGCCCGGGCCGAGCCTGGGCTGAGCCTGGGGGAGCCGAGGAACTCACCCCACAACAATCCTCTGCCTGGAGACCAGTCCCTGCAGTCACTGGCAGGGGCGACTGGCCCGGGGGTGCTCAGAGCAAGGAGAGTGGTATAGATTCAGAAGAATGGAATTGAACCTTCATATCGGTCCCCATGGACCAGTCAGACCCAAATCAGAACACCCCCGCCACCCTCCACAATAGAGAGAGGGTGTAGGCAGAAGAAGAATGGTCAGTTTGAAGGGGGCTTTGGACACTTAGAGCATAAACCTCTTGACCAGGTGTGAAACCCAGTCACTGGTGACTGGTTCTAAGAAAAAGCTGAGGCTTCGGGGCTGTGGTTGAGAGTCTGCCTGCCGATGCAGGGGACACGGGTTCGTGCCCTGGTCTGGGAAGATCCCACATGCCGCGGAGCGGCTGGGCCCGTGAGCCATGGTTGCTGAGCCTGCGCGTCCGGAGCCTGTGCTCCGCAACGGGAGAGGGCACGACAGTGAGAGGCTCGCGTACCGCAAAAAAAAAAAAAAAAAAAGCTGAGGCTTCATAAAAACGTATCTCCTTATAAAACCCCATGTTTTGCTCCTGTTGCTGACAGAAATGCACGGAATTGCTTTTTTCCCATTTCCCCGATCTCTTCTCTTACATTCTGGCAGCCTCCTTCCCTTCTATAATATCGTTTTCCTTTCAGAATAGCCCTGATGGATATTTTAACCCGATTTCACAGGGTAAAAGTGTCATTGGGTCTCAGCATGTGATTTTCTGCCTCCCTAAATTAGCTCTGATACATCGAAGGGTTGCCCTTCCAGGAGCCAGGAAAATGGGATAGGAAACACCAGGACTCCCCTACGTCTCCATGCCCATCACTCTCATCCCCATCACTCTCAGCCATGCCCATGTGCACGCACTTGTCTCAAGCTCCAGCCATAAACCCACTTGAACTAGGAAAGGTGAAATAAGGAACTTCGCGTCTTAGGAACGACTCACAGTCTTTGGTGCCCAGAAGAGGATGCTGGCGCTTGGTGACTTACTGAAGAGCAGCGCAACTGTCCAGAGCAGCATGGGGCCTGGCCTGGTGTGGAGGAGGGAACCCGGGGCAGACTGAAGGCCGGGGTGAGACTGGGAGGGACAGCATCTAGGCCACAGGCACAGGGGTGGGTGGGTGACCCCCTCTGACATGGGTGGTGTTAGTGCTTGATAATCTAAATACGGGAAGTGGGGAAGAAACTTTAAAAGCTCAAATGGTATTTCTTCTTTGGTAGAAGGAGTGTTACAACCAATGAATTTTCTTGACCGTAAGGCATAAAGGAGTCAGGTAAGCGACAAGCAAGCACTTTTGGATGCTCTCTCTGTGGTTTGAAAAAGCTTATGCTAGGAACTAGGGTGGGACAGGGCTGTGGAAAGACCCAGACACTGCCAGGATTTGCTTGGCCTCAGCATCACTTAGTCTGGAAGGTAGCACAGCTCTAGAAACACTAAGATCATCCACTCCCCACCCCGAGTGACCTCTAGTTCTCCAAGGTACCCTCTTCTTCAAGGAGAAATGTGTCTGGACACTGCAATGAGGCAGAGAAGTGGAATCGTGAAAAGAGTTCACAGGACTGTGAGCTCAGGAGAGAATCAGGGATTGATGAGGTTGGGGTAGAATGGGGCTGGAGGTTCTGAATCTGAGGCTTTAAGACTGTCAGGTTATTATTTTGAGAAGAACCATTCATTAAAAGACACCATTAGGAGAGTGAACAGACAAGCCACAGGGTGGCAAGGTATTTTCAATACATATGGCTGACAAAGGACTCGTACCCAGAATATAAGAATTTCTACAAGTCAGTTAGAAAAAGACAGACCACCCACTAGAAAAATGGGCAATATTTTGGATAGGTACTTTACAAAAGCAGATATCCAAGCACCCAATAAACACAGGATAAGGAACTTGACTTCATAAATCACTGTGGAAATGCAAACTTAAACTGCAGTGAGATACCACCACAACCCCCATAAGAATGGCCAAAACTATAGACAACCAAGTGCTGGTGAGGATGTGAAGCAACTAGAACTTGCGTACACTTCCACAGGGAACATAAACTGGTACAACCACTTTGGAGAACTGTGTGGCAGAATCTACTAAAACTGAACATATAGATGCCTGATGACTGAGCGTTTTCACTGCTACGTATATGCACGCGTGTGGGCACCAAAAGACAGGTGCAAGAATGTTCATAGCAGCATCAGATTGAAAACTGGAAACTACTGGTCTCTCAACAAAGAAGGAGGCCATCTCCCCAACCCACACATCCTCTGAGGACTGAACATGTGAATTTAAGGTGAAGCATGGAGAGGTGGGTAACATACCAGGAAGCACTTTCTGACAGTAAGGTTGCTCCTGGAAGTCTTTGGGTGAGAAGTTTCATATACTGTAGTCTGGAATTTGCTGTGCTTACTGCTGAAAGCAGGAACAGACAGGGTGAATTTTCTAAGTTTTCTTGCCCGAGATTCTCTGATTCAGTGGAAATGGGAAACCAATCTGGCACTGCCAGGCAATTCTTTTGAGACTCCGTTGATTGGGAGTGAGGTAAAAGGAGTGAGGAAGTAAAGTAGGAATCGAATATCTTGTTGGCTCAGCTCAATGTTAACACTTATACATTTTCCTCTCTTGTTCTCTTTCCAACAGATCTCCTGACTCTAGTTGTCTTTAACTTTGTTCAGCTGCAGGTCTAGAGGGTAACGTGGGCTACAGCTAAGGTAGGAGATGGGGCAACCACAAACAGTCTAGCTTGCAAGCACTCGAGGTGCTTTGCAGGCAGAACCCTTGAAGCCTCGGCCCCTGGCTGCTTCCGCTTTCACTGGGTTCCGGCAGCTTGAGTGCATGAAGCCTCCCCCACTTCTCGCTGTACCCCTGCAGAGTAAGATTTGGTTGTACCTTCAGAGGTGTTAGTGAAGTTGGTTCTCTGAGCTGAAATGGCTGCACATCATTTCTTGGGGACGAAGGTCACCCGAGGGAAGTAGGGCTGCTCCCAGGTTAGGATTCTTCCCAGACCCAGGCTCACCTTGAATCAAGGCGGGGATGGGCTGGCGGGATTAAAACCCATAATACTAATACTTTAAGGGAAATAAGAGGCTAAAAGGGGGTGGGGAGGGTAACAGAGGGGGGGGTTCTCAGCCAGAAGGGGCTTGAAGCCCAGGGCCCCTCATTCCTCAGGGTGAGCTGGCAGGAGAGCAGTGGTAAGGGACAATGGCTTCTGGGGAATGGGAAGATTCAGCCCCACCCCTAGGAGGTAAGAAGGAAGGGCAGGGTAGATAGCAGGGGTTAGGGGCAGCTCTGGGTGTGGAGACAGCATGGTGGGCCCCAGAACCACCCACCTGAGCTTAAATCCTTGCTCTGGGTACTAATAGGCTGAGAGCTTGGTGAAGTTTTTAACCTCTCTGTACCGCAGAATCCTTAGTTCTAAAGTGGACAAACAATTACTCCTGCGTCATAGGGGTGTTAGGAAGTTTAAAGGAGATAAAACCTTGAGAAACACTTAGACAATGCTGTCTAGAACTTTCTGCGATGGTGGTGATGTTCTCTGGGCTGTCCAGTTCAGTAGTTACTAGCCACACGTAGCTACCTGTGGTTGCCTAGTGAGACTGAAATTTTGTTTTTAATTTTACTTAATTTCAATTTAAATAGCTAGTAAATCAACTATACTCCAATATAAAATAAAAATTAAATTAAAAAGTAAAAATAAATTTAAATAGCTACATGTGGCTCGTGGATGCCTTGAATATCGCAAGCGTAGCATAATGACTGGCAAGTGGGAAGCGCTTGATGATTAGCTACTGTTGTAAGGAAAAGAGTGCGGAAGCCTTGAGCTACCAGAGCCTTCCTCTCAACCTTAGTTTGTACTGGAAAGGCCCAAAGAGGTGAAGTAAATTGTATAAAGTACTCGGCCATGAAGCCTGCTGGGATTGGAGCCACATCCCTAGCTGGGACTGGAGGCCTAGGGAAAGACTTGACATTATTTCTCTGAATTAGGTTCGAAAGAGAGAACTGAGGAGATTTATCAAAAGCCTAGAATTTAGGACAGGAGCTGTAAAGACCAGGAGTCCAGTGAAGATGGAGCCAGACTGGGAATGAAGCTCTGGGCCTGGCTGTACTATGAGGCATCTGATCAACCTCCTCTCCTCTCCCTCCTAGAGACCTGGAGAGAACTTGGAAGGGCCAATGGGAAAGTTTGTGTCAGGTCTGCAGCAATCCCCTGTGGTTACATGGACAATTGCCTAGTGAGATCATCTTTATCAATAGCGAAAGGTCATTCTCTGTCCACCTACCCACTTATCCATCAAGCTTTATTTTTTATTTTTTAGCTCTTGCTCAATGCCCAGTCCATCTGTGCCCCTAGGAGCTTAGGAGGAGACAGGCATACACTCAGTATGGTCTTTGTGGTTTTTTTTTTTTTTTGCGGTACACGGGCCTCTCACTGTTGTGGCCTCTCCCCTTGCGGAGCACAGGCTCAGTACGCGCAGGCTCAGCGGCCATGGCTCATGGGCCCAGCCACTCTGCAGGCATGTGGGATCTTCCTGGACCGGGGCACAAACCCGTGTCCCCTGCATCGGCAGGTGGACTCTCAACCACTGCGCCACCAGGGAAGCCCATCTTTGTGCCTTTTAAACCATTTTTTTTCATGCCTCCATTATCCTATTTCATCACACTATATTGTATTTGTTTTATTGTCTTTCTCTAATTCCAGTTTGTGATCTCCCCAAAGCCAAGAGCCAAGTCTAATTTATCGTTGTGTCTCCAGGCCTAGCATAGTAAGAGCTTCAAGATACAGCAAAGTATAATTGTTAGGAGTTCTGGAGTCAAAGAGTTGGGTTCTAATTCTGGCTCTGCTGCCTAATAAGTGGAGGATGGGGGGTGGGAGGGGTCGCTTAATCACAGATTTTAAATCTCTAACAAGGTAATAATGACCTTGATTTCTAGTATTGTGGAGAGGATTACACTTCTGCGCACACAATATCTTGTACACTCATCCTTCCACCTGAAATTGGGGTCTACACTTATATCTTCTCAGGAGCCTTGTACCACCAATGTTACGTGAACTTTTCTCTCCTGTGAGTACGGTCACACCATCTCAACTGGATCTTTCTGGAAGATGCTCAAGTCTCTTTTGTCTTCAAACCAAACCAAACCAAACCATGCCAGCAGCCCTTCTCTTGACTCCACACTCACCATAAGCCCCATTTACAGTCACTCTACTTCAAAGAGTAGAATATGGCGGTGCTTCCCAGTTGGTGTTCTAAGACTCACTGGTGTATCTCAAATGGTTACAGGTGTTACATTGATCTTCTCAGCCCTCAGGGCAGCTGGGTGGGGCCACACTTCCAGCGGGGAGCAGCCTTGCTCAATTATCCAAAGTTCCATTTAAATATAATTTTCTAGGTCTTTCCTGGTGGCGCAGTGGTTAAGAATCCGCCTGCCAATGCAGGGGACATGGGTTCAAGCTCTGGTCCAGGAAGGTCCTAAATGCTGCGGAGCAACTAAGCCCGTGCGCCACAACTACTGAGCCTGTGCTCTAGAGCCTGCGACTGAAGCCCCCGTGCCTAGAGCTCGTGCTCCGCAACAAGAGAAGCCACCGCAATGAGAAGCTTACGCACCACAATGAAGAGTAGCCCCCGCTCGCTGCAACTAGAGAAAGCCCTCGCGCAGCAACGAAGACCCAACACGGCCAAAAATAAATAAATAAAATAAATATAAAAAATATATAATTTTCTATATGTCCACAAAGTGAAAGGGTTTGGGAAGCACTGACGTGCATTCTGCCATCCCCCAGTCTCCATTTGCTCCCCTCTCAATCACCCCTCAACCCGCTCCAATTTGGCTTCTGCCTCCTTCATGTCTGCAGCATATCCAGTGGGTGGGGTTTTGTTCACACTCTGTTTGATTTCATGCTCACATTGTTACTGCTGATTACTCCCTCCTTCCCTAAACACTGGGACACCAGGAAACCTCTCCTGTTTTTCCTCCCCACTCTCAGCAGGCTCTGCTCCCTCCCCCAGGGTCTTTGAAGAAGTCCTTCTGACCT